CCGTCTTTCCACCCAACCAACCTGCCTTTCGTTGAACTATTTGGCACACGGGTTGTAATTTTTTATTCTGGTGGAAATTTGGTGGAATTTTTTCAAGACAACTTTCCCAAAATTATATGAAAGCTGGCCGTCAGGTGTCACAATCCTCTGCGACCCGAATTGTGTTCTGTCGCATACCATTATGCGAATCGCCTGTCGATTTGATTTGGCGCGATGTGGTTCCGTTCGCAAAATGTCGAGGCCGGTTCGCCAAGTTTTTCGCATCGAGGTTGGCCAAAGTTCACCTATCACAATTTTTGCCAACCTAAACCTCAATGTTTGGCCAAACTTTCGCTGATGTGGTGAGTCGGACGGCCAAACTTCAACTCGGTCAACAGGGTTCCTACTAACTTTTAGGGCAGTCTGAGAATCAGACGGGGTACGAAAGTTTTGTTTGACCATCATGTGAGGTGTTTGGCTTGGTCTAAAATTTCAGACGAAGTGTACAGCCTGATCTGTGTTTGCAGATGAAATTTGCCTCCTGAAAAATAAGATGCTCATCCTCTAGGCTTTGTCTTCAGCACATGAAACATTAGATGTGTTCCAGACAGCACTAGTCGTAATAAGATTCCTCCTACGACAGCAGCAGCTACGGGCACTAGGAACATCCTACGAGCCAGTTGTAGCCAACAAACATCTTACAGCAGCTACTCCTAACTCTACCAATGAGTTTGGCTTGCTGCTAACATCCTACAAGCTCACTAGAGCTTCCAACCAATACCGCTGCAGAACCAAACCAACTAGCATTAACCCTACCCTACTTAGTCTCACTGCCACTGCTGCATCCTTGCTCATCCTCCTCACTATCAGACTCTAGCAAAATCGCTCTGCCCTTGCCCTTCCTCTTCCATACCGTACCTACTGCACCATCCTCATCATACATCCGCGCCGCCTCTGCTGCTGCAAGTGCCTCCGCCTGTCGTGCTACTGCTGCTGTTACCTTCGCTACTGTTCTTGCCGCCTTGAATGCCGCTAACCTACTTCTCCACCATGCCGTCCCACTCCATGTCGTAGTCGAGGAGCGACATGGTCATCAGATCGCTGAGCTTCGCGTCACACAAGTTGCCGCGCAACCAACTCTTAATGACGTTCTGACGACTGAAGCCGCGCTCGCACTCGACAGTGCTCAACAGCAGCACCGCCACTGCTATCTAAATGCCGACGATATTCGGGTAGGCCGTCTTCCAATCGGGAGTGGAGAGCATGTTCTTCAAGCTTGTATGAAAGTCGAGGTCATCCTGGTGAGTAGACATGATAGTGGTGAAGCTATTCAGCTCCTTTTTTGCCTTCCCCCAGTGGACACCTTCAGGATAGGGGACAGAAGAGCCAGGGGAGAAAGGAGGGTGTTTAGTAAACGGTAGACAGGGTTGAAGTAAATACACGTCATGAACAAGGCAAAGAAAGACTTGAGCCACATGCATGCTTAAATACGACAATCACCAAGCAGCGTGTTGGGAGCGGAGGAGTCGCGCTTCCAGAGGTTGCGGAGAGCCTGCAGCCACGCCACGAACTTCCGCTCCCACTTTGCCACCGTCCGGGGATAGAGACCCTGCTTGAACAGTCGCGTGCCGTTCAACGACGCCAGGTCAGAAAGTCGCGCCTGTAGCTTGTCGATAATGGACAGCACCACCGCCGTCGCCAGCTCCTGCAGCGAGTCGATGTTCCCGCCTGTGTGTTGCCCTTCAATGTCGGAAGTCTGCAGCTCGTACGTGTGATCAGTCGGGGTGCCGTTCGCGTCCACGCCGCTAATGGTGATGTCGGCTCCTGTAGCTACCAGGTTCAGGAATTCGAAGAAATCTCCTTTTGCGGGGCCGAAACGGGTGCCGTAGTTGACATAACGAGCCCGAAGCATCACGATGGTGTTGTCCACCATCCTAAGCACCTGGGTGACGTCGACCTGCGAAGGGGCGAGTACGGGATTAGAAACAGAGAATTATAAAATGCTGGAAACGGTTAAATGGTACCCGCACCTGCCGCCGCTGGAACTTCAGATTGAGGGCGTTGAGCTCCTTCAAAACGTCAGCAAGGAAATACAAGAGAAAATGGAACTTCAAGGTTATAATGAGCGCATACATAGCAGAATCATACTCCCTTAGGAGAAGCACTGCTGCAGGGAAAACCTCAACCAGACGTTGGATGGCCCCCCCCCGAGACAACCAGCGGATATTGTGAATCCCTTGCATCTCGAGGTTCGTCTCGGTGACCACCTCCTGCAGCTCTTTGAATCGAGAATGGACGACAATCAACCGGCCGAGAATGTCGGCCAAGGATCGTACGACTTTGTCAACCATCCCCAAGTCAGGGAACTCTGCTAAAGCATCCTTAGCAGTGAGAGCTTCCTTGCACACATAGCAAATGAAGCTGGTCAGAATCCGGGCAGAGAAAACCATAAGGCAAAACTGATGTGGGCCACAACTTACCTATGACCAATACAGTGGCATGACACGAGGTGAGGAATTCGAGTGCGAAGCCGTGCGAAGCCGTGCGAAGCCCGTTTTGGGCTCCCGTCATCACACTCGCTCCATCAGTGCTTATGCCACATATGCGGTTGAGGTCGACGCCTTGTCCCTCTAGGGGTGTCAGCAGGACGGCTTGAAGCGATACGGTGTCGCACTTCTCGACCGCCAGGTGAGCGAAGAACTCAGTCACGACCGTCGTATCACGCAGGAACGTCAGATACACTATCATATGCTTGCCCCGCCGCCTGTCGGTGCTCTCGTCAAGCTGGATGCTGAGAAATGGGCTCGCCTTGATGTGGGTCAGCTGCTTCGCGCGCAGGTAGCCGACCATGTTCTCAATGAGTTGGTTGAAGCCATACCTGCACGCAAAGAGGTAAAATCACTGCTTAATAGCAAGACTTTCCGTGACCATCTCCAGAAAACAAACAACGGTGGCATACAGAAAGAGCATGAGAACCCTGCACAAACAAGGCGCCCCGCAGGATTGACAACACTTACTCGCTTTGGTAGGTTCCACGTTCTTTCTCTGGCAGATCAGGAGTGCCTTGCTGCGCCATGAACTGCACCAGTGATACGAAGAGGAGAACTGGGGCGTCCGACTTGCAGGTAAAGTGGACGATCGCCATCAGCCGCTTCAGTCGCTTGGATTCCGCGTCGCCATTTTCAAACTCCACGATGGACCGCTGCTTTGCCTTCTTGCCGTCAAGTTGAAGCTTGCGCGCCATCGCCGCCTCGTGCTTCTGGCTGTGCTGATGCTTCCGCATAGTCTACTTTGAATATCGATCCCGCCCTCTCCATTGCGCCCGTACTAGTAGCCGGGGTCGTCACCGTGCACCATGCAGACTGTGCACTTCATGCATGGACGCCCCTCGGAGGTTTCAGAGATGACGAGCCACGGAAAATGGCGCGTCCACTGCTCTATCGCCTTTGCCTGAAGCTATGCGACTGCTAAGGGAAACGGACCTTCGTCGTCCGACGGTGTGGACGGCGCGGGATCAGTACGAGCCCTCTGCTCGCCAAGGCGCACGGAGGACGTGGAGGCAGATGAGGCAGGCCTACCGAAGGTAAGCTTGCTCTGCTGGTATCGCACCCTTCCAGGCTCTGCTAGTAGGATGCCCAGACCGGCTACTAGGAGACCTTGACGGGCTGCTAGGACGCTCAGACGTGGGGGGCGATGTACCCTCAGGCGCGAATGTGATCCATGGTTCTGTGTCTAACGGAGGTAAAGGGGACGGTGGGGTGGATACAGTTGATGCGGCGTGTGCACGTGCCGACGCTACAGTGGTAGCACGACCAGTAAGAAGGTCGATGCCTGATAGCCTGGGGAGCAAGGCTACCACATGCTCCTCGACGGGGGAATCTACCGCTGGCTTTGCGGAACCAGCGGCAGCAGCCATGAGACCTATTCGTCAAGCAGATACAAGACTACACTTGCGACTCTGCTGAGAGGACGACTAGGAGGAACGAGGCAGGGGGGAGGCATCTCGTATAGAAAAACTATAACCAGAGGGTGAAAAAACAGATGTGGAGCTACGACGAGAGCCTTGCACTGCCATTACGCAAGGACGCCTCGGCTCGGCACCTTGCATGGGACGGTGCCTGATTTAGCACGAAACTCATCTCACGCTGGCAGGCATCGAGGGTGGCTTCCATACAGCGCAGGCAATGCGCCGGCAGTATGCTGCATGCAAATCATGCCTTAGTGTTGTCAGCAAGCCAGGTTTTGCACATATCGACGAATCGGTAACAGCATATGACTCAGGCAGCTGTAAATCTGATACGAAATGTACAGCGGTGATGAGAGGCCACACGACGACTTTATTGTGCATGCGACGGTTTCCTAGAACTGGATGGCACAGGTGGCCAAGTGCGTACATGGGCCGGTGGGAGGGTGGGGAACTGGGCAGATGTGTCGGCATCAGACAGAAATATACGCGCTATCTGAAAATTCAGACGACTGTCTACACCTAGTCAGAGAATTCAGACAAATTTATATGACCAAGATGGTCGTTCATATGGAAAATTAATGGTTGTAAAAAAATCAGATGACATGGAAAATTTGAGTCTGATTCTCAGATGAACAGACGGTTTTCGTCTGCTAACGGGAACCCTGTCGGTCAAACTTCAGAACGCGATCTTATTTGACCATTCAGACTGCTTTGCATTAATACGCGAAGGATATTTACGTACACACTCTTTACATGCGTAACACTTTGATATGCAAAACACTTTCCCTTCAGCCACGACGGTTTGTGTCTTGACGTGGCATTTCTTGAAATCTTTTGGTTGATCAAACCAATCAGCATCCTATTGTGCCCCTTTCCTCAGGTAGCCTGGACCAACGGGGACGCGAGTCGATGACGTGACCGCGACGGCTGATGTCAGCAGTGCCTTGTGGCCGGAGGGAGCGGCGCGGATAAACCCTGCGAGCGGGGTTGAGTGCTGGTTGGCAGGCGCGCGCTTCATAGCTTGCCTGAATGGAAGACACTGGCTGCATTTTCTATCATTCTCAACCTTCGCTGCTACTGCTCTCCATTCTCAGTGCCCTCGCGCCATGGCGTCCTTGAAGGCCCACCTCACCACTATACCCGCCGCATCGCCGACGGTTGTGCCTCCGCTCAAGGCGCCTTCACGAGACCTGCACTTCGGCCGAGCCCCTTTTTTCGCCGCGCACGTCGCATGCAAGGCGTCAGGCCCCAGCTCCTCCCGGTGCGCTCTTGCGTTCTTGACGCTCGCGCTTGCTCGTCCGTGTTGATCCTTCCCCCTGCTTCGTTACAAAGCTTGACCTTTTAATATCGCCCTCCGGATCCTCCTGTTGACGCCGCCGCGTGCTTTTGCCCACTCGTCTGTTCTCCGATGTGTCTCGCAGCCAATCTTCCAGGCCGAATGGTACTCTTGGAGTCCGCGCCGTCGCTGTGCAAGGTACGCCGCCTCTCGCCGTCCTCGTAGTCCTCGCATTCCCATCGCGTGCCTTTTCTCCAGCTCAGTCCTCCATCCTCCTTTGCCCTCCTCACGCTCTCCGCGTACTCCTTTTTCCCTCTACCCCTAATGTCCCCGGCGCGCCAGCCGACAGTCCAGCGTCGGTGTTTTCGGACCCGCCTCTGGCGGAGGCGGACCCCGAGGTGGCGGCGGTGATCGCGTCGGAGCGGCGGCGGCAGGAGGAGGGGCTGGAGTTGATCGCGAGCGAGAACTTCACCAGCCGCGCCGTCATGCAGGCCGTCGGCTCGTGCCTCACCAACAAGTACTCCGAGGGGCTGCCCGGCAAAAGGTGACCACGGAAAGGGGGGCTTGGGGGGCTTGATGCGGGGCAGAGTTGCGGCGTGGGGAGTGCACAGGAAGGATGGTTGTTGCTCTGCGACACTGGGGGGGTGGTCTGATCGGCACGGGACATCTGGGGGAGGGACGCGATCGACAAGCTCGCTGTTGCTTTTGCAGGGCGAACTAGTACCCGGCGAATCTATGTTTGCCCTGTATCTTTATCTCCGCCCCTCGTGCGCGTGTGCCGTGGCGGCGCCAGGTACTACGGCGGCAACGAGTTCATCGACCAGAGCGAGGTGCTGTGCCAGCAGCGGGCGCTCAGCGCCTTCCGCCTCGACCCCGCGCAGTGGGGCGTGAACGTGCAGCCGCTGTCGGGCTCGCCCGCCAACTTCGCCGTTTACACCGCGCTGCTCAAACCGCACGACCGCATCATGGTCCGCCGCCGCTCCCCTCTCCCCCGCTTACTCGCCTTCGCTCGCTGCTTACTTCTGTTCTGCTTACCTCCCTTCCTCTCTGTTCCCAGACGTCCTACCCCACCTTCTTTCTCATTCCCCACTACCACACACCCCCCCTCCCCCTTCCCCCCCCCCCCCCCCCCCCCCCCCTCTCTTTCCTTTTCCTCCCTCCCCTTCCTTCGTCCTGGTTTTGCTCCCGACGGATTCTCTTGACGGCATCCGTACATGTGTTTCGCGATCCCACGAAACGACTCGGCACAAAGTCAAGTTCACTCTGCCTGGCGGCTCTTCCCTGTGCCTGTCATGTGTCCCCCCCAATCCTTCCCGTCTGCACGCGGCAGGGTCTGGATCTGCCGCACGGCGGGCATCTGTCGCACGGGTTCATGACGGCGAAGCGGCGCGTGTCCGCCACGTCCGTGTACTTCGAGTCTATGCCGTACCGCCTCGACGAGTCCACCGGTGCGTGCATGGCCGTGCCGTGGGGCGCGGGAGGGCGGGGGCACAGGGGGGATTGGCATGGCGTTGCCTTGAGTCACCCATCGCCATTCGCCATCACAGCTGCACTCCCCTTCCGCTCGGTCGTCCCTCGCGTCATGTGCTCACGCCACCACCTCCCCTCCAACCCCTTCCTCTCCCCCCCCTCTCCCCCCCCCGCCCCCCCCGGCGCGGCAGGGCTGGTGGACTACGACGCGCTGCAGCGGTCGGCGCTGCTGTTCCGCCCGCAGCTCATTATCGCGGGCGCCAGCGCGTACCCGCGCGACTACGACTACGCGCGCATGCGGCAGGTGACAGCGCGCTGGGGGCATGGGGGCTGGCGGGGAAGAGGGGTCTGCGTATGGGGAGGGGGAAAGGATAGAGGGGGTGATGATGGATGCTTGAAGCTGCAGGGCGGCGAGTCAAGGAACCTCACCAACTGCAACGGAGTGGCTGGCCAGCCGCATGCAGGCAATGCGATGCCATGCTGCTTCAACGCTCACCGCCTTTCCCCCCTGTCTCCCCGCCTTCCCCTCCCCATCCTTCCCCCCCCCTCCCCAGATCGCGGACAGTGTGGGCGCGTTCCTGCTGGCGGACATGGCGCACATCAGCGGGCTGGTGGCGGCGGACGTGGTGGCCAACCCCTTTGAGTACGCGGACGTGGTCACCACCACCACGCACAAGGTACACACACCGCACGCAAACACACTCAACCGCCCACACACTCAACTGCACGTGCGATGAGGTAACACTTGTCTTGTTCGTCGCCCTGCTAACTTCACTTGATGCCATTCGCATTGACGCTATGTGAGTCTTCAATTTCTCCGCCTCCCCCTTCCCCCACGACTCCCCCACCCACTCCCTCACCTTACCCCTTGGTTGTGGCAGTCCCTACGGGGGCCGCGAGGAGGGCTGATTTTCTTCCGGCGAGGGGAGATGAACAGCATCGACATGGAGACGGCCATCAACAACGCCGTCTTCCCCGGCATGCAGGTGCCGCGCTCCACGCACCGCCCAACATGCCACTGCCGTGTCAATTTGTCCGCTTTCCCTGTCGTTTTTGCCTTCTCCTTGCTTGGTCATTCTCATCCCACTACATCCTTCTTCCTCCTCCTGCCCACCTCGTGCACCACCAGGGTGGCCCCCACAATCACACTATCGGTGGCATCGCCGTGTGCCTTAAGCAAGCTGCCACTCCTGCATTCAAGGCGTACCAACTACAGGTCAGACTCCCACTCTGCCCCTCTCCACTTCACTTTCTTAACACCCGACCCCCTTCACACTTCCCTCCCCATCTTTTGTTTGTTCTTATCGCTCTCCCTGTTCGCACAATCCACTTGCCTTTTCTGCTTGCCCGGTCCCTGACTCCTCTATTCTGCCTGCGCATCGATCAGTGTTTATCTCTGCCTGCTACACTGTCTTTGCCCCACCCCACCCTTCCCACCTTTAAGTAATCACGGCCTCCTGCCCTGTGCACGGCAGGTGAAGGCGAACTGTGCAGCGCTGGCTCAGCGCCTGCTGTCGCTGGGTTACACTCTGGTGTCGGGCGGCACCGACAACCACCTGCTGCTGCTCGACCTGCGCCCCATCGTCAGTGCCCCGCCCCCACGCCCCCACCATGCCGCCACTGCCTCCCCTTTTGCACCTGCCCCTGTTATGCATCAACCGCCTCATGTGCGACCTCCTCTCACTTTCACTGTCCCTTCACTCGGTTGCTCCCGGTGTCTGCCTCTCCATCTGTGTGCTTAGCATGTGGGTTGGCATGTGTGCGCTGCGTGCATGGCAGGGGCTGGACGGTGCGCGAGTGGAGAAGGTGTTGGATCTGGCAGCCATCACGCTCAACAAGAACTCTGTGCCAGGTGCCAAGTCATACCATGCCTGCCGTGCTGAGTGTGCTGGCCAAGTCAGATTCCTTGCATGCCATTTTGCACCCCTACCTCGCCCTTGGCATTCACCATCCAATCATGTGTCTAAGCATGCACAACGAGTCTTGAATCCAGATCTGAACCTTTTTTTCCAAATCTCTTTTGATTTTTCTGAGTCGAATATTTGTCGAATAATAACCTTCTGTTTGACTCATGTTTGAGGCCCTTTTGGAGTCGAATTGGAACCTGGATTCGAATATCAGGATCCGTTGTGCATGCTTACATGTGTCCATGCACTCGCCCTTTCCCACAGGCCGGTGGCTGGAATCACTGACTCGTACACAGAACCCTGTGCTCTCCAACCCCCCTGCTTGCCCCAGGTGACAAGAGTGCGGTAGTGCCCGGGGGCATCCGAATTGGCACGCCTGCTCTCACCACACGTGGCTTCAAGGAGGAGCACTTCAACCAGGTGTGCCACGGGGGAAGGGCGCTGGTGGTAAGCCTGCATAGGAAGTGGGGGGTGTGTTTAGTGGGTGCCAGCCAGGCACTGCCTGATAATACATTGAGTGGTCAACGCACCCTGCCACTCGTCTTGACCTCTCTGGTGCGTGTGTGCAGGTGGCGGATCTGCTGCATGAGGGCATCAAGCTGGCGCAGCAGGTCAAGGCGTCCAGTGACGAGGCAGTGTGCGCGGCAGGGGGGGCAGGGGCGAAGCTCAAGGACTACATGGCGTATGTGCAGGGCGAGGGGTGCAAGGAGCGTGCGGAGATTGAGGCGCTGAAGCACCGGGTGCAGGCGCTTGCCACGCAGTTCCCCATGCCAGGCGTGGGCATTGACAACCTGGCCAGGTGAAGCCATGCAGATGTAGTCATGACTCGTGAGTGCTTGAACCACCTGTAGTGCCGTTTGTGGTGACACCGTACGTGGTACTCATTGTGGCATGGTATTTCACTGTCTAGTAATTGTTAATTGGAAAAGGAGGTGTGTTCAGGGCAGGTCTCACGATACGATATTAGGAATCTTACGCTGATTACGTTTTTTTTAGGGTCCCTGCTTGTATCAACCCTGACGAATCAGCAAAAAAAAAAAGAGAAAACCAGGACCACCCAATGGAGAAACTAGTAAGAACCTTGATGTTCAGGGTGTTGGTGTTCATATTTACATATCAAGATATACTATGAATTGTAGCCTTGCTAGGGTTCAGATTGCGTAGGGGAAGAGGTGAGGGGAGGCACAAGTAGAGTGTTCTCTCTAAAGGCTAATCTAGCTAGGCTAAATATTACAAACATGTCTATGTCAAGATATATTTATATTATAGGCTAGATAGGTGCATGCTCATGAAGTGTACAACACCATAGAACACAACTTCCCTGTATGCCTCATTCTACTCAATGCATTATTCTAATATGGTATCACGCTATGTTAGATCCCCCACCCGCGCTTCCGCCCTAGCCCGCCCTAGTCCCTACAGCAGGCCCTGGTCCCTAACACCCGCCCTAGTCCCTAGCGAGCCCAAGCCCCTAGCGTCCGCCCTAGTCCCTCACGCCCGCGCCCTAGCCTGTTGGCCTCTAGCTCGTCACTGGCCCTTCACGCGCAGCGCGAGCCCCTAGCGCCGCTAATCCCTGGCGCTCGCCCGCGCCGCTGGCCCCTAGCTCGTCGCAGGCCCGTCGCTGGCCCTTCGCGCGCCGTGCGAGCCCGAGGGCGCCCCGTGGCTCATAGCCCGCTGCCGGCCCCCATTCGCCAGCCCTCACTCCGCGGTCCTTGCTCGCCGGCCCTCGCTCGCCCGCCCTAGCTCGCTCGCCGCGCCTCGCGCGTTCGCTGGCTTTGGCTCGCCGGCCCTAGCTCGCTGGCCCCAGCTCGCCGGCACTCGCTCGTCGGCCCTAGCTCGACGGCCCACACTCTCTCGCCACCCCCTAGCTCGCTGGCCCCAGCTCGCCGGCCCCAGTTCGCGCCGACCCCCGTTCGAGCCGGCCCCAGTTCGTGCCGGCCCCTGTACGCGCCGGCCCCCGTTCGAGCCGGCCTTAGTTTACGGCCCCTGTTCGCGCCGGCCGCCGTTCGAGCCGGCCCCTGTTCCTGCCAGGACCAGCTCCCCGTACCGCCGTGCCCCCGTGCCGCTAAGCCGCCGTGCCGCAGTGCTGCCGTGCCGCTGAGCCGTCGTCAGCTGCTGCAGCCGTGGTGATGGCAGACGCTGTGCTCCACCTGGATGCGGAGGGTCGGACGATCAACTTTGAGGCGTGGCTCGTCGACCTCCGCTGCTCGCTGAGGGGTCAGCGCCAAGATGGCAAGTCCCTTGCCGTCCACGTCGCCGTCCCCTGCCCAGACCCGCCTGCTGCCCTCCCGCCCCTACGCCCGCTGAGCGTGAGACCTTTGCAGCCGCTGAGCTCGCCCGCTCTGTCTAGGAGTCACGTAACGCAGTTCCGCATCTTGCTATCTGTTACGCCCTCCCCCTGTCCAAGCGTCCTCGCTTTCAGACCGTAGAGACTGCGAAGGAGTACTTAGATGCTGTCATTGCGCGCTATTCCACTCCCTCCTCCGCCTCTGCCGGTTGCTCCTGCTCCCCCTGCACTTTCCTTATCTTGCGTCCTTCCCCCCTCGGCGCTACCCCGACCACCTAGCCACTGCCCGCGACCACTTCCTTGGTCTCTACCCCGCTGACCTCACTCTCACTGACTTTGTCACTACCCGGACTGTGATAGAGATCCGCGAGTGCACTATCGCTCAGTCGAGGGGTACTGCGGCGGTCCCTATCTTCCAGGGCTGTGCTCGCTCCCACTGCACTTATTCTGACGTCTCTGCCGCTGTTGCTGAAACGGCCCCCGCTGCTGAGACCGCTGCGGTGGCCTCAGCGCAGTCCCGTTAGGGTAAGGGTCACCGGGCCCAGGGGGGGCGTGGCGGCGGAAAGGGAGGCGGGGGTGGCGAAGGTGGCGGAGCTGGTGGAGGGGACGGTGTCGCAGACGAGGGGACCGGTGCTGATGCCCCGGCGCAGCACCAAAAGCAGCAGCAGCAATAGCAGCCCCAGCATCAGCAGTTGTCTCAGCAGCAACAGCAGTAGCCGTGGGGACCCCCGCCGCCATGGTGGCCTGGTGGTTCTGGTGGTGGTGGTCGTGGTGGAGGTTTGTGCAACTCGGTGACAGGTGGTGGCCCTAGTTCAGTGACCTGCCAGTACCGGCTTCAGACCAGCCCCCGCCGTGGCACCGTTTGGGACCGCCCCGGTCACACCGCCGCCCGTTGCTAACGCCGCCTTGACGGCCTCTTCCGTCTCTGCTTCGGCCCTGCGCAGGAACCCCCTGAATGGCACAGCCTGGTATGTCGCCGTGTGCTCGTCTTTGAGAGGTATATGGATTAGATTCGCTTTGCTTTGTATGTCATGTATGCTGATGACTCAAGTGTGAATGGACCTTATTACCCTGTATTGCCTAGTGTAGGTATGCCCCCTATGTGTAGTCTAGGCTCCCGTGTTGCGTCAGGCGTAGGACTTTTTGCTTTGTTTAGCCTTGGCTCCACCCTAACCTCTCTGCCGGCTGCCGCTACCACTGCGCTCGCTTTCATGCTGGACTCTGGAGCGTTTGCCTGCTTCTTTCGTGACCACACCGCTCTCACGCCACTTGCTGCCCCCGCCACTGTCGTGCTTGCTGACCCCTCCTCAGGTCCTGTAGTATCCCGTAGCTCCATCACCCTTTCTGTCCCATGGTTCCCTCAGGCTCCCTTATAGGCTTGCACATCCCCTCGTTCTCCAGGAACCTAGTTGGTGTCGGTTGTCTTCAGGACCTCGGCGTCACCACTACGTTTTTTGGACACGAGTGGTATGCAGTCTGTTCCGAGGCCGCCACTGGTGCCCCTTTTACCATGTTCCCCTAGGACCCGGTGTCCGACCTATTTACGTTTGACACTGCCCTCGCGGGAGCGTCTCCCCAGGTGGCCACGCCGTCCCAGGTCGCTGCAGCTTGCTCATGACAGTCACTCACCCACCCATCGCTTCTGTGGCACCACAGCCTAGGTCACTCCGCACTCCCGCATCTGCGTGACATGTCCCAGCACGGTCTTGTCTTAAGTCTCCCTACATCGCTCTCTGCTCTCCCTCCCTTGCCTGCGCCGCCGTGCACGCTCTGCGTTGAGGGCCAGCTGCGCCGTGCTCCTTAGTCCTCCTCGCTTCCCCCTATCACTGCACCACTCCAGACCCTGCACGAGGACATTTGGGGCCCAGCCCCCGTCCCTGGGCTGCATTGAGAGAGCTACTTTCTGGTGCTTGTTGACGACTACATGCGCTACACCATGGTGTTTCCCCTGGAGCGGAATGTCGACGCGCCTGACGTTCTTATCAGGCACGGACAAGCTCACCGCCCGCAGTGTCCCTTGTGTCTTCCTCGGCTTACCCCTTGATGCGTCTGATTGGCACTTTTACCACCCGCCGTCTCACCACTTCTTTCATTCTCGTGACGTCGTGAGTCTGTCTCCTTCTACACCCGCTTTCCCCACCAAGATCTCCCAATTACCCCGCCCCTGTTCCTGGTCCCCACTCCCTCGGTAGCCCCTGCTCCTCTCCCTCCCCTTCTGGCCCAGTCTGGTGTGTCTCACGTCACTCCCCTTCCGTCGGTTGTCCTGGTGGAGGAGTCGGCTGACTTAGGGGGCCTTGCGGCTCCGGTTTCACCGCCTGTCTCTGCCCGGGTGTCTCCTCCTCCACCACCGCAGCAGCAGCCGCCGTTGCCTCCGCAGCAGCAGCCGTCGTCGCAGCCGTCGTAGCCACAGCAGCAGCCGCAGCCGCCGCTGCCGCCGCCGCAAGGGTCAATGGCCCTGGGGGTGCGGGCGTTGGAGAGGGTGCTGGTTCTGGGGATGCTAGTCCTGAGGGGTACTGTCGTGGCTTGTCCCGGTGGTCCGAGGGGTGGCACCGGTACGGGAGAGGGTTGTCGTTCTGGGGTTGTTGTCGTGGAGCATCCCAGAGGTAGTCGTGGTCTGGCTGGAGGTTCTGGTGCCGTCGTGGAGCAGCAGCAGCAGTTGCTGCCGGTGTCCGCCTTTCGCCTCCTTGGTCTCCCCTCCTCCAATCGCTCGCCGGCGCCTCCCCTGCTGCCGCCTCCCCCGCCTATCCACGACCTTGTTTTTTCTCCGCTGGACTTGTCTCCGGCTCGTTTCCCCCCTCGTTCTCCTCCTGTGTCTCCTCCCTTGTCTCCTGACCCGACCCCCCCCTCCTGCTGGTGGTCTCACCATCGTTCTCGTCCTATCTCTCCTGTCAAGCGCTCTCACCCTATATTGCTCCGCTCTTACGCGTCTCGTGCTCCTCTTCTACCGTGGCCTTCTCAGTCATCGCTTGTTGTCTCTCCGCCTCCAATCTTTGACTTCCTCCGTACTGCTAATCTGCTTGTTTTTTGAGTTCTCGCCTTTCTTGTTACCGACCCGTCCGTTCCTGTCTCCAGTCTTGACACTCTTGTCACTGCCGTCGCTGACTTTGCCTCTACCCACCGCCTTGACTACGCCACCGCTCTGGTCTCTGACCCTGCCCGTCCTCCGTCCATCCGGGGTGTACATGCCCTTGATAGTGACGTCCTAGAGGACAGGAAATACAAGCTAGCTTTCCTGTCCGAGGCCGCTCCTCATCTCTGCTCCATGCTACTAGTCCCTGAGGGTGACCCAAACGCCCTTGAAATCCCGACCCTTCGCACTTACGTTGAGGCGACCTCGTGACCCTGGTCCTCTCTGTGGATAGCTGCCATGGATTCGGAGATGGCATCTTGGAGATCCACCAGCAGCTACGTTAACGCTGTTCCCCCACTTGGGGTGAAAGTAATCAATGGCCGGTGGCTCTTCAAGGTGAAGCGCCCTCCTAGAGGGTCGCCGGTGTTCAAGGCGTGCCACGTTGCTATAGTAACGGAACAATCTGTCCACATGTTGGCCATTAACTTGACAAAATCAGAGCCCATGAGAAAATGAAAACGTTTTTTATTTCCTGGTTTTCAGGTTCTAGTTGCCATTGTCATAGGCTTGCGTGACAAATGACATCTTGTCCAAAAAACACACCAGAACAGAACATAGCACAAAGAAGATCACAAGTGGTACACTCGGACAGAATGTTCCCAAGATGAGCCACATTTGAAATTATCGACATCGATACCGGGTCCATCTCCCCTTAGCCCTACTTTCTGCTCCAATCCTCCTAGGCATACTCTCTATCGAAGCCTTGCACACACGAGCCCCAATGCTGCCCCATGCCTGTGGAGGGTTGCTCATGCTTGCCGAGCTGCTCGATGGGATTGGGGTCGGGGGAGGAATAGGGTCATTGTAGGACCGCAAAAACTTGCTCTGCTAGCCACTCGTGAACGATCCTGCACTTGGGTCTAGGATCGTACAGTGTACTGGAACGTCATGCCAGCGACGGTCAAATCATAGAAATCAAGATTTTGAGCCACCTCATCCTTCAATATGCTGTGATATAGTTGGCCATCTTTGCGGCCATCAATCTTGCACATGTAACCACGCACATCAGACATCATACAGACTTAAACCATGACTGGCAGGCCCCCATGCTTCACAGTCTACTTCACCTGATGCCCCAAGAGAGCAGCACCTTCGCGAATCCATGCGTGGGTGTGGCTATCCGAGCAATATTGAGTGATCTGAGTCACGTTCGACCTGATCACCCTCTTCCAGTCGTCCATAGTCCAGTCTGGCTGGGCTCTGGCGAAATCCTGGTAGTCGCGGATCTTGCGCGCTAATAGCTAAGGCTTGCGTAATATTTGTACAACGACTTACCCAGTCACCTTGAGGGCATTTCGCACAGTGCGAGGGTGGAACTTAACAACGTGATTAGATTCCTGTGGTTATGCAGCCTCAATGTTCGTCAACGCGGCACCTAACATGATGGTGTGCATGAATGTGCGCATGTGTTACACAGAGAGCAGTCGCGGCCGACCTGAAGAGTGGACATTTGGCCTAGCTTCTAGACGACTACTACTGTAACTAGAGTGTTTTATTTGTCGATTCTCTGCTCCCTTCTTAGCGTTAGTGCGACCTTTCGAAAACTCAGACCCTGGAGACAGAGGCTCATGATCTGGTATCTCTAACGCGAAGCAAGCGGGCGTGTGGTTACTGGAGGATCACGAGGTAAGGGGCATGCACTAGCGAAAGTCTGAGCGACTTTGCTAGCTCGTGCAAAAAATGCTCGACGAAAATAGATCTAGTCTCTACACGGGTAGTATTTGTCCACATCGACCATCGAGCGTAAAATCTTGCACTCGCTATTAGAAATTCGATATTGGCTAGAGTTTGTCATATTTGGAGGTGCATCAATTGTTTTTGCGTAATGTCCATAGGCTCCGGATTGTAAATAATTCATTTATACTTGTCAAAACATAACGAACTTGCTAAACAGTGCCATTTCGTGGACAAATTGTTCCGTCACTGTAGAGGCTTCAGTCAGCGCGAGGGTGTTGACTTCTTTCAGTCCTTTGCCCCGACCCCGAAGATGACCACTCTATGGGCGCTGCTACACGTAGCAGCACAGTATGACTATGAGCTGCACTCCCTCAACTTCTCTACAGCGTTTCTCTAGGGCAGTCTGCACGAGCAGGTCTACCTGCGCCATCCGCTAGGTTACACGAGCACCTTCGCCCCTAGGACCGAGTGGCTCCTTCGTTGCCCGGTTTACGGCCTGCGGCAGGCACCCCATGAGTGGCACGACAAGCTGCATGCTACGTTAGCTGACCTGCAGTTCTTCCCGTTGTCTGCAGACCCTTTGCTCTTCGTTCATTCAGGCCAGACCCCGTTCCACATCCTTGTCTACGTAGACAACCTGATTTTCGCTACTGCAGACACAGACGCACTGGCTTCGGTGAAGGCTGAGCTGCTGAGGAGAGACACCTGCACTGACCTAGGAGAGCTGTGCCACTACCTTTGCCTGCAGATCTCCAAGGACAGAGCAGCGCGTACCATCACTCTCACACAGTCACACTTGGTGCGCTAGGTCCTTCAGAGGTTCGGTCTTCAGTTCTCCTCCGCACAGCCCATACCTCTGCCAATAGATTACAGGCTCTCGGCTCTAGTTCTTGATGAGTTGGTCGAGCCTTGTGGTCCGTACGCAGAGCTGGTGGGTTGCCTCATGTACCTGATGACTTGCACTCGTCCAGATCTTGCATACCCTCTCAGCATCCTGGCTCGCTTTGTGGCAACAGGCAGACAACGACCACAGCACTCGTCCTAAGAGGGTTTTGTGTTATCTAGCAAGTACATCGGGCATGGGGCTAGTGCGAGGAGGACGCAGGCCAGTTGTCTTTACAGGGCACACAGACGCTTCGTGGGCGGACGACGCTCAGAAGCTCAGGTCCTTCCAAGGCTACTGCTGCAGCCTTGGTACAGGCGCCATCTCGTGGAGGTCCACCTGCTCATCGTCTATTGCACAGTCTACTTGTGAGGCTAAGTTCTACGCTGATGCCGTGGCGGCACAGGAGCTCCGCTGGCTGAATTTCTTGCATACAAACTTAGGTGAGCGGCCTAGCTCTGCCCCGGTCTTGTACAATGACAACAGGGCCATGATCCTCCTGTGTGAAGAGCCTCGACTGGAGGGCAGAGCGAAGCACATCCAGCTGCGGTACTTCCTCCTACGCGAGCTACAACATCGATGCCGGGCCCGTGTAGTTCATTTGGCCTCAAGTGCCAACACAGTTGATATCTTTACTAAGGCGCTTGCGCCTAGACATCATCAGCGGCATTGTGTACAGCTTGGTCTAGTTCCAGTAGCTACTCATTTGCTAGGACCTTGATTGTGTACTACTTTTTTTAGATTTTCCTGGCTAGCCTTGTGGCTTGTGTTCTGGTGGCAAGACTAGTAGTGCCGCCCTGGTTTGCTATTGCCTACTTTGTACTCTTCTGCCTGGAATTCAGACCCTTGCCTCAGAGGTTGAACTAGTAGTGCCTTCCTGAGCTGCGTGTCTCTTGCTAGGCACTGTCAACTTATACATACATTTGCATGTAGATTTATATGCTAGAATAGGTGTATGTTCTTAGAGAGTACAATCCAACCCTATATCTTGCTTGTTCTCTCTTGTTTCAACTTATTCTAGTATTGTAACATGGTGTTATGAGTAGGTTAGGTCCCCCCCACCCGCTTCCGCACCGCGCCCTAGCCTACCGCGCCTCGCCTGGCCCTAGCGCGTCCGCTGGCCCCTAGCGTGCCCGTCGCCCCCTCGCGCCTAGCTAGCCCTTTCGCGTCCAGCCAGCCCCTCTCGCGCCGTGGCCGGCCCCTCGCGCCGTAGCCGGCCCCTCGCGCCATGTCAGCCTCTCGCGCCCAGCCGGCTCCTCGCGCCGGCGCCAGCCCCTCGCGCTGTCGCTGGCCCCTCGCGCCTAGCCTGGCCCCTCGCGCCGTTACCGGCCCCTCATGCCCTAGCAGGCCCCTCGTGCCCTAGCCGGCTCCTCGCGCTGTCGCCAGCCCCTCGCGCCGTCATTGGCCTCTCGCACTTAGTCAGGCCCCCCGCGCCATTACCGGCCCCTCGAGCCATAGCCGGCCCCTTGCGCCCTAGCCGGCCTCTCGCGCCGTCGCCGTCCCCTCGCCCCCAGCCGGCCCCTCTCACCCAGCCGGCCCCCTTGCGCCTAGCCGGCCTCTCGCACCTAGGCGGCCCTCCCTCGTGCCGTAGCCGGCTCCTCGCGCCATCGCCAGCCCCTCGCGCCGTTGCTGGCCCCTTGCGCCTAGCCAAGCCCCTCGTGCCTAACCTGGCCTCTCGCGCCTAGCCGGCCCCTCGCGCCCTAACCGGCCCCTCGCGCGCTAACCGGCCCCTCGCGCTGTCCCTGGCCCCTCCCGCCCAGCCGGCCCCTTGCGCCCAGCTGGCCCCTTGTGCCCAGCTGGCCCCTTGTGCCCAGCTGGCCCCTCTCACTTAGCCTGCCCCTCTCACTTAGCTGGCCCCTCACACCTAGCTGGCCCCTACTGCCTAGCCGACCCTCTCCTGCGCACCACCGGCCCGACATGCCTTGCCAGCCCCTCACTACGCGCCGGCCCCTTTCCCGCACGTGCTCGGCCTCTCACCCGCCAGGCCGGCCCCTTGCGCCTCGGCCCTTTGCGCGCCGACAGACTCCTCCCGCGCCCTCCTCGGTCTTCCGTCCGGTCCCTATTCTGGACAGTCCTGCCGCCGCGCCGCTGTCTCGCCGTGCAGCTGAGTACCTGTGTCCCTGTGCCGCTGTGTCCCGGTGCCGCTGTGGTTTCGCGATGGCGGACGCCATACTACGTCTGGACGCGGAGGGGCACGCGATCAACTTCGCCGCTTGGCTTGTCAATCTCTGCCAGCACCTGACAGGTCAGCGCCAGGATGGGCACTCCCTGGCTATGCATATTGATGGCTTGCTTCCTCGCCCCTCCGCCCCTGATCCCCTCCCTGCTGACCCCACCACTGTTGAGAGTGAGGTCTTTGCTGCTGCTGCACTCGCTCGCACTGTCTGGAATTCTTGCGATGCTGTAGCGCAGCTTGCCATTAGTCATGCGCTTCCCCTCTCTGAGCATCTGCGTTTCACTGCTGTCGCGAATGCCAAAACCTTCTTAGATGCAGTAGTTGCACACCTGCCTCCGCCTCAGTTGGCCGCTTGATCCTCCCCATGCTCTTCCCCGATATCTCTGCTTTTCCCACTATTGCTGATCTCGCCACTCACCTTCGTGCACTGGAAACTAGCTACCGCGCTGCTAGCAGTACTGCCCAGCTCACTGCCTTCCCCCCGCCATTTTGCGCTACCCTGTACCTTATGGCCATGTGCCTGGCTGACCGCTTAACCACTGCCCACGTCCACTTCCTTAGCCAACACCCTGGTGACCTCACCCTGACCGCTTTTGTCGCTGCCCTTTCTGAGATAGAGACTCGCCAGCGCACTATCGCTCAGTCGAGCGGTGTTGCGGCAGTCCCTATCTTTCAGGGCTGTGCTCCCTCCTAGTGCACGTACGCTGACGTTTCCGCTGCGGTCGCTACAGCTGCTCCTGCCACTGAGACCGCAGCTGCAGCTACAGTGTCGTGGCTGTCGCAGCCCCAAGGGAGGGCGTGGTGGTGGTGGTGGCAAAGACAATGGTTGTGACGAGGGGGCTGGGGCAGGTGTCCAGGAGCAGCAGAAGCCGCAGCAGTCGCAGGTGCAGCCGCAGCAACAGTAGTAGCAGCAGCAGTAGCAGCAGCAGCCGTGGGCCCGCCTCCCGCTGGGGTGGCCGGGAGTCCCTGGAGGTGGTGGCCGAGGTGACGGTCCTCGCAGCTCGGCGTCTACCGGCGGCTTCGATGCAGTGGGCTACCAATACCATCTCCAGATTGGGCCCCTCTGTGGCACTGTATCCCGCCGCCCGCTGCTTCCACGTCGACGACCTCTTTCGTCGCCGCTTCGGCCCGGCTCCGGACCTCCCTGACTGGCCTAGTCTGCTGCACCACCGTGTGCCTCTTTTTGACTTAGACATGGATTAGATTAGTTCTGCCTTGCGTTCTCTGTATGCTGATGCTTCTAGTGTGTCCGGATCTTATTACCCTGTGTTCTGTAGCTTAGGCGTAGCACCTGTGTGTAGTACAGACACCCCTGCTGCGTCAGGGGTAGGACCGTTTTCTTCGTCTGCCGCTACTGCTTCCCTGACCTTCATCCTTGACTCTTATGCGTCTGCTTGCTTCTTCCGTGACCACGCCACACTCATGCCGCTTGCCACACCTACTGCTGTCTTCCTTGCTGATCTCTCTTCTGGTCCTATCGTTGCTCGCAGCAACTCTACCCTTCCCTGTCCAGCGGTCCCCTCGGGTTCCCTTACAAACCTGCACATCCCTTCGTTCTCCAGGAACGTAGTTGGTGTCGGCTGTCTTCAGGACCTCGTCTTCACCACTACGTTTCTTGGTCACAAGCGGTACGCTGTTTGTACCAAGGCCACCTCAGGTTCCCCCCTTGCGACGTTCCGCCGAGACCCGGTGTCTGGCCTGTTTACGCAGGACAATGCTTCCCCCCCTGGTTGGCACGTCCTCCCCGGTCCCTGCGTCTACCCAGGTCGCTGCGGCTTGCTCGTGTCGGTCGCTCACCCACCCGTCGCTTCTGTGGCACCACCGCCTAGGTCACCCGCACTTGTCACAGGATCGAATGTGTCGAGGAAAGGTTGCACTATCGATCAGTACAAGGCGCTTTTATACTTCCAAAGTACATCAGGTAACCAGGTTTATCTTATCCTAAGGGAATAGACCCTTCTAGAAGATAGAATCACCCTGCGTATAGCCACGCGAGGCTATTGGCTTTAAGGGATTACGGCAAGATTACGCTAGATATAGCGCACCAGTACATCCCAAGCCTGGTCGGTGACATAATTATAATAGCAGGATAAACCAAAGGTTAATGGAGAATAGGAAACCAAATGAGATGAGATAAAGAGAAATGAACGAGGAAGGAAATAAGAAAAGGGACAAGTGGTGTAACGGGGTCGTACTCTCACACTTCCCCCCCTCAAAGCTGGGTGGTAGAAGTAACACCCTTGCTTGACAAGGTAGTCATGCAGAGGGTGACGGGAGTTACCCATGTCGGACTCAGGGACCCAGCTGTCCTCAGAAGGATCATAACCCTTCCAACGGATGAGAAGCTCCACGGTGCCATTCCGACGTCGGCGGTGTGCTAGCACGGACTCGACTTCGTACTCGGGTTCATTCTGGACGAGGACGGGTGGCGGCGGCGGCGGTTGGCGTCCGACGAAGATCGTGTTCGGATCCTGGTAGGGCTTCAGAAGCTGGACATGGAAGGCGTTGTGAATCTTCCAGGTAGCTGGCAGGCGTAAGCGGAAGGTAACAGGAGTGACCTGTGCTTCAACGAGAAAAGGCCCGCAGAAGCGAGGTCAAAGTTTAGATGGGAGGTGGCTGATGTCCAGGTTGCGGGTGTCAAGGAGCACCTGGTCTCCTACCGTGATGGTGTGGTCGTTGCGATGGCGATCGGCCTGGCGCTTTTGTTGCTGTTGAATGTCGAGGAGGCGCTTATGGGTCCGATCCCAAAGCTGATGCATGGTTGTGATGAAATCATGTGCAGGTTGTACCGTAGCGGATGTTGTCGGTTTCTGTGGTGTGAGTGGGTGGCGTCCGTAGCAGAGGAAGAACGGCGTCTGTCCAGTAGCGGCATGCGTAGCATTGTTGTAAGCAAACTCTAGTACGGGCAGGTGCAAGTCCCATTTGGAGATGTCGTCCTTGCAGGCTGCTCGGAGGAGTTGCTCAACAATTTGGTTGAGGCGCTCGGTCTGTCCGTCTGTCTGCGGATGGTATGCGGATGACATGGCGAGTTTGGTCCCGAGAAGAGACATAAGTTCCTTCCAGAACTTGCTGGTGAACTTGGGGTCTCGGTCGGAAATGAGTGTGGTTGGGATGCCATGCTGTGAGATGATATGACGAACGAAGAGCTGTGCTGTCTCCTCGGTGCGTGCTGTCGTGTGTGTCGGGATGAAGTGTCGCATTTTGGAGAACTTGTCAATGACGACAAGGATTGCGTCATGACTGCTGGTGGTAGGTGGTAACCCGGTGATGAAGTCTAGGCTAACCACTTGCCATGGCTGTTCTGGGACAGGAAGAGGCTGCAGTAGTCCCGCCTTTTTCTGCTTGCTGCTCTTCATCCGCTGACATGAATCACACGAGGTGACGAATTTCTGGACGTCGTCTGCCATGTGGGGCCAGTAGTAGTGTTTGGCGATACTGGTGAGCGTCTTGTTGCTACCGAAGTGTCCGGCGTACAGGACGTCGTGGTATTCTTCGAGTAGTAACTGGCGCAAAGGAGGATAATTTGGTACCCAGATTCTTGTTGATCCTTTCCGATACGCGATGTCGCTGTCCCACTGTAGCAGATGTCGCTTTTCTGCCAAGGGAATTTCGGGGTCGATGGCGTACCCGTGTGTGAAGAGTCCCTTGAGTAGTGGATTCATCCCTTCGATCTGAATGGCGGCAACGTGTGCAGGCCGGCTAAGAGCGTCTGCTTTGTTTTTGTGACCGGGCTTGTACACGATGTCGTAGTGGAAGTGTGTCTCAAGGAAGTCGATCCACCGGACCTGCCGCCTGGAAAGATTGGGTTGTGTCTTCAAGTATTTCAGGCTGCAGTGGTCGGTGTAGACGGTTGTTCGTCGTCCTTCGAGATAACATCTCCACGCTTTAAAGGCGATGACGATGGCAAGGGCCTCTTTGTCGTGTATCGGGTAGTTGTTCTGCTCCGTGTAGTTTCTTGCTGAGGTAGGCGATTGGTTGCAGTCCATTCCCCTGGTCTTGCATTAAGACTGCCCCCACTGCCTGGTTGCTGGCATCAGCTTCGATTACGTAATCGCGTTCGGGATCTGGCAAGATGAGTACCGGTGCGGACGTGAGTGCTTGTTTCAGCTGCTCCACGGCTTCCTGGTGCTTTGGTTCCCATTTATAGGGCGTGTTCTTCTTCAGCAGATTCGTGAGTGGTGCTGCGATTTTCGCATATTGTGGCACGAACCTGTTGTAGTAATTAGCGAAGCCTAGGAACTGCTGCAACTCCTTCACGTTCTCGGGTGTCTTCCACGTGCGTACGGCCTCGATTTTCTTGGGGTCGACGTGAACTCCTTGAGCGCTCACCATGTGTCCTAGGAACTGGACCTTTTCAAGGGCGAATTCGCTCTTGGACAGTTTGACGTAGAATCGTTCCCGTCGAAGAATTTCGAAGACGCGTCGCAGGTGTTCGACGTGCTGCTTCATGTCGCGCGAGTAGATGAGTATGTCGTCCAGGTACACCACCACGCATTCGTCCAGAAGTGGTCGTAGAATGTGGTTCATTTCGGCTTGGAACGTTGCCGGCGCGTTGGTGAGTCCGAACGGCATTACCAAATACTCGTACGATCCGTACCGAGTTCGAAAAGCAGTTTTATGGATAGAGTTGTCCGCCATCCGTATCTGCCAGTATCCGGACCGCAGATCCAGTTTGGAAAATACCGTAGCTCCTCGAAGCTGGTCAAGCAGGTCATCGATTCGCGGTATCGGATATTTATTCTTGATGGTCTGCTTGTTAAGAGCTCGGTAGTCGATGCACATGCGCAGGCTTCCGTCCGGTTTCGGTGTGAAGAGTACTGGGGCACCGTACGCCGAAGTGGATGGCCGGATGAGTCCTTTGGCCAGGAGATACTCGATCTGTTTTTTCATGTCAGTCAGCTCCGTAGGGCTGAGCCGGTATGGTGCTCGGAAGGTCGGCTTCGAACCCGGTTCCTCCACGATCTCGTGTTGATGCGTTCGGTATGGCGGTAGCTCGTTCGGAAGATCGTCAGGAAGAATGTCTTGGAACTAAATCAGTAATTCCTTGATTTTTTCTGGAGTTTCCGAGGCTTTCTCTCCGTCATTCTCCACCTCTGTTGCTATCGCTAGGAACCCGGTGTTGGTCCGCTTCACGTCCTTCTCGAATCGTGCGAGTGTCTCCACTGGGATATCTCCAGTATCGTCCCAGTTGGGTAGCTGTACTCTCCGTCCATTGTTGTAGATGCTTGCGGTGCGGTTCACCAAGTTGATCTCGGGGTTGAATCTTTTCAGGAAGTCTCGCCCGAAGATCAAGTCAAGCCCTTTGATGTTGGTGATGGGGAGTGCAGGTCTCCACCGCAGTGGTCCAATTTGTAGGTGTAGCACTGCTTCGCCGTGTGCTGGTAACTTGCTGCCGTCCACCATCGTTGCAGAGAATCCTGAAGGCTTGTACTCTTCCCGAAGTCGGTCGATCACTGCCTTGTCGCAGACGGTGTGTGATGCTCCGCTGTCCACGAGTGCTTGGAGGCGTCGTCCTTTGCAGATGACCTCGAGCACGAGGGGCAGTCGTTGCTCGGAGTACCCAAAGATAGTTTCATTGATTGGGTCATAGGGTACATCCCAATATTCCGTACACACCTTTGTATTGCTGTCTACTCCTGAGCTGGCAGCTGGCCGAGGCTGCTTGGAGAACGGCTCTTCTCCAGGGCCCGGAGTTTCTTTGATGACTGTGCGCGTCACTGATGCCGAAGAACTGGATGCATCCGTAGGAGAAGGAATTCAGGGTTTGTGCAGCTTCTTGTAGACCCACAGCTTCCTCTTGAGCTGCTTCAGCTCCACCGACGTCTTCCGTGGGGAACGGGTAGTCGTTGTGGGCTAGTGTCGGGAGAGGACGTTGACTCCGTGGAAAGGTCGGCTTCTTTCCAAACTCCTTAATTTGGTCCCCAGGTTGTCCGGTACCGGTATAATCTCCACAGTTGTCTGCTTCTTTTGGAGTCCCTCCCGAAATTTCTCCAAGGCTCTAGCCCCTCGAAATTCATAAGTTTTCATTAAAGCATCTTTATAAGATAACTTTAACGAATTCTTATAATTTCTTGGGTCTTCAAGGAGTTTCCCTGTCTCGGCAGAGTCTTTTTTCGCGGAGTCGTATTTTTCCTCAGCGATTTTCCCTGGCGAGGACTGGTCGTGGGGTGGAGATTTTCCCCCATAATTTCCTCCTTCTCGCGTCGAATCAGCTTCGTCGAAGTTGATTTTTCCGGAATCCCGCGGCCGTTTTTGGATCTTTTTATTTTCGCCAGCTAGATCCGCAATCACTGGCGACTCCCGTTTTTTGACTTCTGATTGGCTGAAGGAATTCCGCCACTGTTGCGTGCCCGATACTCTGCGCGTGCGGCTTTCATTTTGCTGCAGTCGAAGATTCGATGACCCGGCACCCCGCAAAAATCACACGTGTAGTTGGTGTTTTTCGAACGTGGCCGCCCCTCGAATCTGTCGACTTCCATCGGGTCGGCGAACGTGGGGTGAGCCGAGCGGTTGCCCTGTCGCGTACTGCCGACGTGCGTCCGTCGTGTTCCGGCGTTGACCATGTCGAAGCGCTCCGTTGCCGAAACGACGTCACTGTAGCTCGCGTACTTTGACGCTGCCACTTGTCGTTTGACTTCGGTCTTCAGCCCGGCGAGGTACGATTGTACTTTTTCCCCTTTGGTCAGGTCGGGAATGCGGTTATAAAATTCCTCCATCTGCTGCGTGTACTGCGCTACACTCCCGAACTGTTGGTGTCGATGAATTTTTTCCCGGGCAAGGAAACTGGAATTTATCGGCTCGAAGCGTTTCAGCAGGTTGGTGCGGAACTGCTGCCACGTGGCTTCACCGTGGATGAAGGTACTGTTGCCGCCAATCCACTCGAGTGCCGGCCCTCGCATCAGTGTCGCCGCGAGTCGTACACGTTGACCGTCCCAGACTGGCGAGCTCCATCCGACGGCTGCGAAGTAGATCTCCATCCCGGCGATCCATCTGCGGGCGTCGGAGTTTCGATCGCTCGGATCGAACGGCTCAGGTGGGCGCGGTTTCGGAGCCTCGAGAAACTGCTGCGACTGCTGCGTCGTTGCCGTTGTCGTCTCGTGCTGCGCTCCAGCGAGTCGAGTTACTCGCTCGAACTGGTTTCGCCACGCTTCGCGATCCGCTCGCATTTCCTCCTGAAGGGCTGCGATGCGCGCGAAGAGCTGCTGGGTAACCTCGGCGTTGTCGAAGGTTGCCATCCTGTTCAAAACACGCACGGAGGGGGTAATTCGAAAATCGCGGAGCTGGTGCTTACCAGAATTGGCGTCGAATTGGTCGCCCCCGGCGGTTTTTCGAGGCACGATCCCCGCTGCTGCTGCTTAGCTGAGCGCGGTCGAGTGAGAAAAGCTCTGATTACCAAGTGTCACAGGATCGAATGTGTCGAGGAAAGGTTGCACTATCGATCAGTACAAGGCGCTTTTATACTTCCAAAGTACATCAGGTAACCAGGTTTATCTTATCCTAAGGGAATAGACCCTTCTAGAAGATAGAATCACCCTGCGTATAGCCACGCGAGGCTATTGGCTTTAAGGGATTACGGCAGGATTACACTAGATATAGCGCACTAGTACATCTCAAGCCTGGTCGGTGATATAATTATAATAGCAGGATAAACCAAAGGTTAATGGAGAATAGGAAACCAAATGAGATGAGATAAAGAGAAATGAACGAGGAAGGAAATAAGAAAAGGCCAAGTGGTGTAACGGGGTCGTACTCTCACAGCACTCTAGCATCTGCGTTACATGTCTCTGCACGGTCTCGTCCTAGGTCTCCCTGTATCGCTTCCTGCCCTCCCTCCCTCGCCTGCGCCGCCGTGCACTCCCTGCGTCGAGGGCTGGTAGTGCTGTGATCCTCACTCCTCCTCGCTTTGTCGCGCCACCGCACCCCTCCAGACCCTGCACTTGGACGTCTAGGGCCTAGCCCCCGTCCTTGGACCGCGTTGTGAGCGCTACTTTCTAGTGCTCGTGGACGACTACAAGCGCTACACCACGGTGCTTCTCTTGAAGCGGAAGGCCGACGTGCCTGGCGTTCTTATCCCGTGGGTCGTAGGTGCACGCCTCCACCACGGTCTCCCTGTGCTGTGTCTTCACTCCGACCATGGTGGCGAGTTCGCTCCTGGTCAGCTCTGACAGTTCTGTCTTGCGGAGGGCATCACCCAGTCGTACACCCTGCCGGACTCCCCACAGCAGAATGGGGTCACTGAGCGACATATCGGCCTGGTCATGGAGGTGGCTCGTACCTCCATGATCCATGCTGGTGCACCCCATTTTCTGTGGTCGTTCACTGTTCGCTACGCTGCTCACCAGCTTAACCTCTGACCGCGCTTTTAGCGACCGCAAGTTTCGCCGACCCTTCTTTGGACCAGGTTTCCTGGTGACGCGTTCGCGTTCCACGTTTGGGGCTGCCTCGCTCACGTCCGTGCCTCTGGCACGGACAAGCTCACTGCTCGCACTGTCCCCTGTTTCTTCCTCGGTTCCCCCCTAGACTCGTCTGAGTGGCGCTTTTACCACCTGCCGTCTCACCGCTTCTTTCACTCCTGTGACCCCACTTTCGACGAGTCTGTCTCCTTTTACCGCCGCTTTCCCCACCGAGGTCCCCTCGTTTCTCCTCCCCTGTTTCTGGTCCCCACTCCCCCGGTAGCCACGTCCCTCCCTCCCCGTCTTGCTCCGTCTGGTGTGTCTCACGCCACTCTCCTCCCGTCGGTTGTCCCGATTGAGGAGTCTGTCACAGGATCGAATGTCCCGAGGAAAGGTTTGCTCAATGTTGCACTATCAATCAGTACAAGGTGCTTTTATACTTCCAGATTACATCAGGTAACCAGGTTTATCCTATCCAAAGGAAATAGACCCTTCTAGAAATAGAATCACCTTGCATATAGCCACGCGAGGCTATTGGCTTTAAGGGATTACGGCAGGATTACGCTAGATATAGCGCGCCAGTACATCCCGAGCCTGGTCGGTGATATAATTATAATAACAGGATAAACCAAAGGATAATGGAAAAGGAGGAATAGGAAACCAAATGAGATGAGATGAAGACCAAATGAATCAGGAGTGAAAGAGGAATGAAATAGAAAGGAAATATGGAAAGGGGAAATTGGTGTAACGGGGTCGTACTCTCACACTTCCCCCCCTCAAAGCTGGGTGGTAGAAGTAACACCCTGCTTGACAAGGTAGTCGCGAAGAGGACGACGGGCGTTACCCATGTCGAGTTCAGAGACGCAGCCTTAGAAGTATCAGATACCTTCGAGCAAAGAAGAAGCTCCAGAGTGCCATTCTGACGACAACGGTATCCAAGTACGTAGTTGTCCCATGTCATGGATGAACACGGGCGACGACAGTGGTTGGCATTCGGTATAGAGCGTGTTTGGTCTTGATAGGGTTTAAGAAGCTGGTATGGAAGGCGGTATTGATCTTCCAAGTGGCTGGTAGGCGGAAGCGGAAGTTGACTGAAGTGACCTTTGCTTCAACGATGATAGACCCGCAGAAGCAAGGTTGACGCTTGGATGGAAGATGGCTGATATCGAAATTACGGTGTGGATAACTGTGGTGATCAGTGGCCTGGTGCTTTTGCTGCTGTTGGATGTCCAAATGGCGCTTGTGTATTCGATATACAAGATGGTGGACGATGGCGATGAAATCGGAAGCCAGTTCGACTGTAGCAAGAACTGTCTGTTGCTACGGAGTGAGCAGGCTCCGTCCATAGCAAGGAAGGATGGTGTGTATCGCCGTCAGTGATATATGGGCAGGTGCAAGTTGTAGTTGGAGACTTGAGTGGTTGGAACACTGTGCTGTAACGTGCAGATGAATGGCTACGTTGTCTCTTCTGTGCATGCCTGAAGATCACTTGCATCTCGTCCACGCCTGAAGCTCACCAAGTGGTGGTGGTATGGCAGTCGTGTCGTAGTACTGCTTCTGTGGCAGTGTTGTATCCGTTACATGCAGCTTCTGTCGAATGCTGTTCCATGCCGTAGTGTTGTCGCGAA